TTGAAAAATTTTGAGTTTGTTCTTCCATTTTGGTTTTATAATTCCTGCACATTTCATCATAAAACTTGATTTTTGTCTTCTCAAGCTTCCCTTTGAAATTTTCTCTTGGACTCTTTTACTTCATTTCTTCCATTTGCAACTCTGCACTGGAGAGCAACTTTCAGAATCTCTTCTGAAATCTATTTTGGTATTTCCCTTCTTTCTTGTCTTTTTAATCACCCTTTTCTTCCATATGATATTCTTGATGTCATCCCACAACTCTTCTGGTCTTTGATCAGTGTCTAATGCATTAAGTTTGTTTGTGAAATGAAACCTAGAATAAGGTGGGGTATGTTCAAAGTGAAATTCTGACTCTCACAGACTTGTTTTAATGTCCTTCAATTTCAGCCTGAACTTTTATATGAACAACTGATAGTCTGATCCACCACAGTCTGCATCGGATCTGGTTTTGTTGATGATATGGAGCTTTTCCACTGTCTCTTCTGACAGATTTAGTCAAGTTGATTTATGTGAATGCCATCTGGAGCGGTCCGTATGTACAGTCATCTTTTATGTTGTTTATAAAAGATATTTGCAATGAATAAGTCATTGTTCTTGCAAATTCTATCATGCGATCTGTACAATCCTTTATATCCTAAGGCCATATTTTCCAACTACTCATCCTTCCTCTTTGTTTCTAACCTTTGAATTCCAATCACCAGTAATTATTAACACAGATTGATTGCATATTTGATCAAATAAAGAAGTTGGAAGAATTCTTCCATTTCATCATCACAGGCTTTAGTGGTTGATACGTAAATTAGATTATTAGTGGTATTAACAAGTTTCATTTGTAGGCATATGGATATTATTCTATCAAGGACAGAATTATATTTCAAGATAAATCTTGAAATATTCTTTTTGATGATGAGTACAACACCATTTCACTTTGTCATTTGTGGCATAGTAAACCATATGGTTATCAGATTCAATATGGTCAAATGCTAGTTCATTTCAGCTTACTAATGCGGATAATGGCACTTATGTATTCAATTTCATTTTTGACAACTTCCAATTTTCCTAGATTCATACTTTGTACATTCTATGTTTCAATTATTAATGGATGTTACAGCTATTTCTCTTCATTTTGATATGTTCCCCATAAGCAAAAGACGGTCTCTAAAGTTTAACTCCATTCATGATCATCACAGCCAACTCTACTATGAGGAGGCAGCTCTTCCCCGATCGTGAGTGCCTTCCAACCTAAAGGGATCATCTTCTGACACTATATCTGAAAGGATTCTGGTATTATTCATCATGTTTCAATACTTAATATTATGGTGCTGACAGTGTTCCAGTGCTAGTCATAAGGTTTTCAGTGGCTAAACACTCAGAAGTAGTCTGCCTCTCCTTCTTCCTAGTCTGTTGTATTCTGGAAGCTCAAGTGAAACTTGTCCACATGGATGATCTTGTTGGTATTTAAAATACTGATGGAATAGCTTCCAACATCACAGCAACACAATCAAGACACATTCTACAAATTAACTGGCCTATATTCAACTCCTGAGAGAGTATGTTGGCTCTGTAGGATAAGCACTGAACCACTAACCACAAAGTCAGCGATTCAAACCTACTACTACCTGCTCCTTGGAAACTTTATACAGGGTCTCTCTGAGTCAGAACCAAATGGATAACACTTAACAACAACAGCATTAGACTCCAGGTGTGGTACTGCCAGGGTTGAAAAGGACAGCATTTAACTAAGGACAAAATTTAGAAGTGTAGAGGAAGAAAGAAAGGAAGAAACACAGGGAGAAAGTAGGGTGACTTATGTTACACTGAGGCGCTCCAACCAAGATGAAACAAAGTATATGATTTTCTGGATATCAAACTGATTGATGACCTGCTCTGTAAACCTTCACTCATTTCACAATAAGTTAAAAAAAAAAAAAAAAAGGAGATCTCTTAATTAATAAAGACAGTATAATCTCATGATGTTGGTCAAAGTACAGGAAAAATAAGTAAAAATAATAAGACTGCGAGCATGGGTTCATCTTCCAAAAAAAATAGAAACATTACAAGAAGTAGAATCATAAAGTAAATGCTGGTGGAGGCGAAAAAGGAAAAAAGGGAGAAGGAGAAACCAATACCAATACCTATTCTCATGGACTTGATTCTGACTCACAGCAACAACTGATAATGCGTAAAAGAGCTAGATAATCAGGTTTCAAAGCTGTAATCTTTATAGGAGCATTGATCCACAGAGTGACTAGTGCATTTGAACCACCAAAAGTCCTTTCCATTAGCAAACAAAATCTTAGCCACTGTGTGTGCTACCAGAGCTCCTTAAAAGAGGAAAGTGTTGTTGTTGTTAGGTACCGTGGAGTCAGTTTTGACAAATAGCGACCATGTATAGCGTTTCCAAGGAGTAGTAGATGATGAGTTTGAACCACTAACCTTATGGTTCAAACCGATCTTGCTTATCCAACAGCGTCGCACCAGGCCTCCAAAAGAGGAAAGTAGGGATGTTATGTTGGTATGGGAATGAGGGGAAAAAGAAGAAAAAGAGCAGCAGAAGGAGGGGAAAAGAAGGAGAAAGGAAGAAGCAAAGAAGAAGAGCTAGGAACAGAGAGACATGAAAGGGGGGGAAAGGAGGAGGAGGAAAAGGGTGGGATAAAAGGAGAAAGAATTGTCTTCAGGATCACTTACTGACTAGTAGGTATAACAACAACAACAAAACAAAACAAAAATGATATTTTCATTATGCATTATATAGTCAAATGTAGGAGCTGTTCATTTCCATCAAAAATTAGTAAGTGAATATATCATAAGTAAAAGACAAACAAAGCCCCCCTCTAAGTCTGAAACTTAAAGGGAACACATAAGCAAACATGTAAGCTTGTTGGTGACCACACAGGTCTAACGGTGACTGGAAGAGGGGGAAAGTCAGCAATAAAGAAATGGGCTGAGTTCAACCATGTTCCATAGGCTTCCATTGACCTGGAGATGAGCGAGAGATGAGGAAGGGCTGGCTGGTCCAAAGTATGGTGAGACCTAGGGACTCCTGAGCCCATGGACAAGGACATAGCCACAGAGGGCTAGAGATGAAAGTGAAGCATCCAGCAATATGAAGTGAGAAGAGACGCACAAAAACACCCAAAATTACAAATAGTACCCATTTGACCTAACCAAGATGGATTGATAATCAGAATTTGATAAGATCAAAAAAAAAAAAAAAAACAAACCTATTTTGATAAAGGAAACGAAAGCAAATTGCTACAATTTGATGAACTTGACCTACACTCACAGAGGTGGTGGTGGTTATGTGATGTGGAGTCGGTTCCGACTCACACCGACCCTGCAAAAGGGTTTCCAAGACTATACATCTTTACAGGAGCAGAAACCCTCATCTTTCTCCCATGGAACTCATGGAGGTAGTAGCTCTAAATACCAACAGAGAGGAAAGGAGTCTTCACATCAAGTATCAATGCTATCCCTTCTATACACAGGGCAGATAGGGATAGGCAACTTAGACATTGGCTACCTAAAATGAGGGGGCAATAAAGGCACAAAGTGACTGCCTTACAAGGTTTCAAGAGGAAATTTAGTTTAAGAATGTGGGGGGGAAGATAGAAGATATCCTCCACTGAATACTTTTCATCTTGTCTAGATGGGTCTGGTAAAAAGAGATGGAGATAAGATTCTTATGATTCAATAGTAATTGTTACCATGACTAATTGCGACTGTCACAACTGTAAAGGCAAAAGTTTTATAACAAAAATGGGGGAGTAGTTAATCTTACAGTCCAGAAACAGAGGATACTAGGGCCACCATGGGAGAAGAGCACAAGCAGAATACGGGACCTTATCCAGAGAAGCAGCAACACCAGACATGGAGGCAGAGATGGGGACATGGAGAGAGGGAGCAGCTGAGGAATCTACATCCATGGAAAAAGAAGGACTAAGAAATGGCGGCCAGGAGGAAGACTTTCAGAATGTACCCTTTGGTGGTGTAAATTTTATATATGCCTGAGTATTAAAATAAAAAAAAAAAAAGCTAAAATGAATAGAGAGAAATACTGTTAACTGATGGTACATAGATGGGATTATAATCATTGTAACAAAACAAAGTACATGATTTGTTGAATGTAAAACTGTAACTTTCACTCAATTCAAAATAAAAACTTTAAAAAAAAGACAAACCAAAATGTGGTTGTAAAGGTAAAAGTAAACAAAAGAATCAAAGGACAGTGGCATTCCTAACAAAGCTTGCATTTACCTAATAAGAAAAAAATTAATAAATACTCTAATAGCTTTTTAAATCTTAAAATGAACACTATTTTGTCCCATTAAACATTAAGAAAAGTTCACCAAATTACAGCAGCACACAACAAAAGCTCTGTTTATAATCTCTGATTAATTTCTACTAAAATCTAACATTTAAAAAAAAAAAGAATTTCATTTAAATGTATAATAAGAAACCATAAAATAAAGGTTTAAACCATAAATAATATACTTTTCTTACCATTTACTTCTAAGAGTTCTCATGAAAATTTTAAGACAATATAGACACATAAAATTAAGCAGTGTGGACAGCAAAATTCTATAAATCATATTATGGGTATAAAGGCTTTTTAAGGTAAAAAGGGAGACTAAAAAAGGGCTTTCTAAACTAATACAACATAATTTTTCTTATTACTTTGTAATTAATAATTATTCTGTAACAACCAATCAGTGTAATTACTAATTAATAAGTAAATTTGATGCTGGAGAGGAAAATAAAACTTGCCTTATATTGTAAGTATTAAATAATTTTGTATAGTATGAACTTTCAAAAATACTTTAATCATTTAAAACAAAAAAGTAGTCAAAGCAATAGCTCAATAATTAGTCTATTTCATTTGAGTTTTTATATATCTATTACTCTAAATGGAAACATCTTACTACTAAACATATAGACAACTCTCAAAAAGAAAGAACAGAAATCACTAAAGGAAATATTTTTCAGAATTTTTGCCATACCTTTAGCTAAAGCTTCTTTGTATTTCTCTTTGGCAGAATTCATTTCTTTTATTAATTGTCTATAGCTGGATTTTAATTTCTCCAGTTCTGTCTTTGTAACCTGTCAAAGAAGCAAAATGCAGAAAAACGTATGTTTAAACCTAAATTGTCTAAGGAAAAATTAGTAGGTATTTTACTACCTATAGGTCAGCGTTGTTCTTTAACAAACAATGATAAACAAATGAACTAAACCTTAGTTTTTAAATCACTAATAAATTCAACAGCCAATGAAAACAGATAATCTTTTCTTAAAAAGAGCAAATCAAAACGAAGTTCACATCTTGTCTAGACGGGTCTGGCGAAAATAGCTGGGGTAAGATTCCTGTGATTCAATAGTGAGTAATTGTTATCATGATGAATTGCGATTGTCACAACCATAAAGTAGAAGTTCTGTAACATAAAGGGGAGAGTAGTTAATCTAACATTCCAGGAACTGAGGACCCCAGGACCATCATGGAAGAAGAGCATGAGCGGAATGGGGGACCCTATCCAGAGAAGCAGAAACACTACAGATGGAAACAGAGATGATGCAGAGAAAGAGCAGCTGAGGACTCTAGACTCATGGAAAGAGAAAGGCTGTGTGCTGGTAGCCAGGAGGCAGGCTTGTATAAATGTGCCCTTTGGTTGTTTAAATAATTATTTATTCCTGAGTGTTTCTGTGTACATCCAAAAACAAAGGAAAGAGAAACAAATACTGTTGAATGCTGATGCACAGAGGGGATTGTAATCATTGCAATGAAACGAAATATGACAGGATGAATGTAAAACCAATGTTCTTCCAGGTAAACTATCACTCAATTCACAATAAAAACTTGTTAAAAAAAAAAAAAAAAGCAATACAAAAATCATCTAAAAGTTTATTGTTGTTAAATGTCAAGTCAGTTCTGACTCATAGCTACCTTGCATAAGATTTGTTGTTGTTGTTATTAAGTTCCATCAAGTCGGTTCCGACCCATAGCAACCCTGAACAGGATTTCCGAGGCTATAAATCTTTACAGAAGCAAAAGCCTCATCTTTCTCCCACGGAGCAGCTGGTAGTTTCAAACTGCTGACCTTGCGGTTCGCAGTCCGATTCGTTAACCACTAAGCTACCAGAGCTCCTTTGCATAAGATTTACAAGTTGATAAATCTTTTGTGGGAACCGAAAGCTTCAACTTTCTCCAAAGGAGTGGACAGTGGGCTCAAACCACCGACCTGTGGTTTGCAGTCCAGTGATTATCCTACAGAGCCCCCAGGCCCCTATCTAAAAAGTATTCTTGTTGTCAAGTGTCATCAAGTCACTTCCAACTCATAGCAACTCAGTATAGGGTTTCTGAGAAGCAACTGTTGAGTTTGAAAAGTGGACGTTGTGGTTCAAACAGACTCTGCAGTCCTGCATTACAATGCCATACGAGAATTCCATCTAAAAATAAGTGATAATCAATTAATATGCTGTGTATAGAAATCTTTTCTGTAACTCAGTACACAAATTATTTATTTTAATTATGCAAAGCAATTTTGAATGGTCATGTCACCAATTCTAAAATGTGGGGTTTTTTTGGGGGGGGGAGGGGCAGTTGCATGGTAACATCTCTTTTAAGATGTTGTGTCTTACAATCCATTCTGGTCAGGTAGCAGACATGACAGTAAATACCACGTTAAGGAAAAAAACAAGTCGTAGGTGTTGTCTGAAAACTTTCTATTGTACTTGTAACAAGACTAAGAAAGTTACAGTTAAGGAAACTTGCAAAAGGGGCACTGGGCATATTATGTAAGAAAATCATAGACACAATAGAGGTTGCTCGGTTCCAACCCATAGCGACCTTGCATAGGGTTTCAGAGGAGGAGCTGTTGAGCTTGAATCACCAACCTTGCGGATCAAACCGACTTTGCAGTCCAGCACATTAACCCACAGTGACACTTTGTTTTTAAGATGCTGCATCACCAGTATTAAAGATTGTCATTTTCATCAGAGATGATGACAATGTGAAAAAAACAAAATATCAATCAACAAAAATGATACAAGTGAGTACAAAGCACATTCCTTAAAAATAAAAAATAAAAACTCATTGGTTTATCTTTTGAAATTGCTACAGAATCAACTCATTCTGAAATAATGGCACATTTTCAATTAAAAAAAAACAGCAAATAAATTTAAAAACACAACCATTTATCTTACCTTTCCTATATGAACTATTTATTAGTGCAATCAATAGTTGATATAAGAAAATTATTCTCTCTGCAAGAATTCCAACTAACAACTACATAATAATAACAATAATAATAATAAAACACCATATTACAATACTCAATAAAATAATGGATCTAAGTAACGAAAATCACTAGTTTGTAAACTATTAGGTAAAAGGCAGATAAGAAAACTTTTCGTAATGTGGAGTAACCAGACTGACAACACTTGAACCTAATAATCAATTCTTAAATCACCAAATGATAAACAAGCAGATATCGTACACCTCCTGATATGAAAAGGATTCTAAAAGCAGAATCCGAGCTAAGAAAAATACAATTTTATAAAGCAAATGATCTAGTTTCTTCAGAAAATGAACCGTTGTTGCTAAGTGCCATCAATTTGGTGCCTACACAAAGTAATCCTACGTTCAACAGAATGATACACTGTCCAGTCCTGTACCAACTTCACAATGGTTGCCATGCTTGAGTCACTGACGCTGCCACTTGGCCAATCCATCTTGCTGGGGGTCTTCTTTTGTTTCTCTGATCCACCACCTTACCAAACATGATATCCTTTTCC